AGGGCCGTACCTGGAGCATCACAGGCCGGGGCGACGCCGGGAACGAGCTGGGTGGCCGCGGTGGTGGCGGGAACGAGCCGGGCGGCTGCGGCGGTGGCAGGAACACGCAGCCCTCCCCCCTTCCCTTCCGTTCCCTGCGGTGCTGCGGCGGTGGCAAGAACACGCTGGGCGGCTGCGGCGGCGGCGGCAATGAGCTGGGCGGCAGCAGCGGCGGGAACGAGCCGGGCGGGGATCTTGGGGCTTCCCCGCATGGCTCCCCAGCCACGTGCGCCTGGGACGGGGCCAGCCTGGGAAAGGAACTTCCTGTCCGCCCTTCTCCCAGGGCGTGGGGCACCCGGGCGCAGGGCCAATGAGGAGCCCTGCGAGGGGGCAAGTCCCATGAGAGAGAGAGAGAGAGAGAGACAGAAGTGCAAGTGCAAGTGCCTCTGTCTCTGTCTCTCTCTCTCTCTCTCATGGGACTTGCCAGAGGGCCGTGGGAGGGCCGCATTTAATAGAGCAGGGAGGGCTGTTCGAGGGCCGGATTAAACCGGGCCGCGGGCCGCAAATGGCCCGCGGGCCGGACTTTGGACATGCCTGCACTAGATCTTATTTTCGGGGGATGTCTTACATTAGGACCACCGCAGCCAGGCCTCCCATGCCCCGACACCTGTTGCTTGACTTCTTCAGTGGCCGCTTGCCACCACTTGCAGCCAGACACCATGTAGTGCATTACGTCATTGCCACTTCTCACAGCAAGAAACCACACAGCGCTTTGGCCATTTCCACTGCTCATGGCAGGAGGCTGCATAATGCTTCACACTGTTGCTGCCACTTGCAGCAGGAAGCTTCATGGTGCTCCAGGCCGTTTCCACTGCTCACAGCAGGATGGTGCATGGTGCTTCAGGCCATTACTGTCACTTGTGGCAGGAGGCTGCATGGTGCTTTGGGCCAGTGGCAATGGCCCGAAGCGCCATGCATCGTCCTGCTACAAGCAGTAGAAACAGCTCAAAGTACCGCTCGGCTTGCTTCTGCAAGTGGCGGCAATGGCATGAAGCACAATGTGGCTCCTGCCGCAAGCAGCAACAATGGCCCAAAGCGCTGTGCGGCCTCCTGCCGCAAGCAGCAACAATGGTGTGACAAGCCATACAGCTCAACAAGTGTCAGGGTGTGGAAGGCCTGGCTGCGGCGGTCCTACCAATAAGGTAACGGGTGTGAGGTGAGTGGGGCAGCTCCACCTCCCACTCCCACCCTAGCTTAATTTTTAGGCATGTACCTCGCCCCAAAACTAGGGTTTATTTTGGGGGTAGGGCTTATATTAGGCCCGCCTCCAAAAAAATCAAGCTAGGCTTACTTTCAGGGTAGGTCTTACTTTTGGGGAAACATGGTAACATAAAGACACAGCAGGAAAAAAAGAGACTGCAAACCTATGTTCTTACCATAGTTAAGTATACACCGAGAAAGGCCCTAAGTGATTTGAGTTAGTGGAAATGCATGATAAAATTAAGAGATAGAAAAGATGGAATATAGGCATAATATATTCAGCTGATAATCTAAGGTGTTCAGAAGAGGTCTGCTTTTATACATGTATATCCCTGATTTGGTCAGTTGTCCAAAATGATATGATAAAATTTAAGTGAATGAAATGGATTTAATGGCATTCTCTTGAAGCTGAAATATATTATATTGGAATAGATGCAAATACTGGGACTTCTTCAGAAAAGGGGAAGGGATCTTATACTGACCCGATTGTTTCCTGTTTGGTCCTTGTAATAAACCCAGTTCAGATTCTCATCAGTCCTGTATTGCACACTATATTTTGTCATCCATTCATCTGCATCACATCTTCCCTGTGTAATTATGCCTGAAATAACTTTAATTTCTTTCAAGTCAATCTGTAGCCACTGGTTTGTATCTTGGTATTTGGAGAGCCAGGCACATCTAGAAAAGTTATGGAAGGAAGGCACTGATAGTCAATAAATGTCTTTATAAAGCATACATTTTGACTCAACCTCCATAAAGAACTCATATTTAGAGGATAAATCGAGAGATGAATCTGAAGCCAGTGAATGGCCAGAAAAAAAAATTCAGGTCCAATGATCCAGACAATGATCCTAATAAAAACACCTCCAAACCACTCATTGTAGGGTGGAGGTCTTGGAGTCAGCCGCTGCATTTTGTTTTGATCCTTGGATGTTTGGAAGCCTCAGTGCTAATTCTCCTGATTCCTGGAAACAATTACTTCATGTAAACAATTACTTTCTTGTGAATAGGACATATTTAATAGTAAATGAGACAATTCATCACATAATCCTATGAAAATTGAGCTACTTCTGGAATACATATCCCTTGAAGGCAATTTTGAGAGGGCTATATGATAGATTTTGCTCCCTATCTCTGTGTTACACAGTTATTTGAGAGATGGATTTCTTTCTAGCAAACTTTGGAAATATCCTTGTCCTCTATGTCAGCTTCCTGTTCTGTAAACTAACTAACTCGGTCATGATTTTTAAAATAAACTTATTTGGTAGGTTCACAAATCAGCAAAGCCAAGCTTATGACTTACAAATCTCAGTGACTAGATTCAAATGAAATACCATATAAGAAAATCACATTAAGCTTTATCATATTTTATAAAATAGTCTCAATTTAAGAGTATTTATCAGGTGCAAATGTCACTGACCCTGTTAATCTCTTATGAAGAGTTCTTAGAACTCTTGCACACTGCTTCATAAACCTTCATCTGACCTAACAAAGTTATTGTTTCAATATAGATTTTGATTTTGGTTCCACCTCTTCCTGCTTCACAAGCAGCAAAGCTGCTGTTATTTTTTTTCCATTATTCATGTAATGGAATAAAGAAAAATGTCAGGAAAATGAGGAATCTCTCAGGGATAAAGAAAGAGTTTGAAAAACAGCCATCACAACATGACTCAGCACAATACAAAACCTTATTTAATGCAACATTTGGTTCTGACAGTAGCTATCTAGATACCTCTCAGAAGCTCATGGTGACAGAAACAGTAACCTCCACACATTTGTCCCAGCAACTGTTAATGGAAGTAAATATTTATTGTTCTGGGATCATAAATATATATTTTAAAAGTCATTATTAGCCTCCATATATTATGTAACAAAGGTTTAGAGGTTAAAAAATCTTTTGTATAGCTTGTTGGTAGAAAACATGTCTTGCAAATGCAGTTTACCCAAATCCTTGTCCGTTAAGCCGGGCCTTGTTTGCAGTCCATGAAGCATACCACCCAGTATACTGCTCTGGATTGGAACAGCTTATTTGATCTGGAGTGACAGCTGCTGATTCAAAACCAAGAGGCTTATGATAGGGACACTCTGTAAAAGAAGACAAAGAAGACATGGAGAGGAATCAGTGCACACTGGAGTTAAAAAGTTTAATTTCTGCTGCATCTATCTCCAGAAAGTGCTATACTTAATTTTATTAACAGGACGTGACATTGAAAAATGACTGAAGTTTTATTTCTTATTTTCTCTTGGATTTGGGGAAGTTTTGGGATTTAATTTTGCACACTTTCAAGGAGGGAAGTAGGAGTTGTATCATTAGAAAATCACCAAGGCCCACAGTATTGTAAACCAATATTTTAAAGTAGGACACTTGCAGCCACACATGAATACAATTTGCTATTTTGTCTTGAAAGGAAATAGAAAAACAAGTCTATAAAGTCTAGAACTTTATATAAGGAAGTATTTTAGTTCAATCATTTGACAATTTGGAAGAACATCCTGGAATTGTACATTCTAAATCCAAAGTCTTTGCAAATGAACCACCATCAATATACTCTTCTTGTTTAATTCACAGAATTAATATCAATAGAATTTAAATGACTATTCCTTCTCATTTCACCAGAGCATCTGTACTGGATGTAACATTCTGGTTTTCTGTTTTGTCTTTTTTTTTTTAATTTAAATTATGTCTTTAAAAATCCAATAAGAAGGATACCATATGGCCTCCACAAGCTGAGAGGTCTCTGTGATCAGTTGGGACTCACATGGACTCCAATAGGATTTGCAGTAGTGGGAAATGCAGCCTGCTTGAATATTGTACCAACAATTGTGATGGTTTCTGTAGTGAAGGCATCTGGATAATAGAAGTTGCACAGAATTTGCAACTATCACATGTATAGAAGTATTAAAACAACAAAGACTAAAACAAGTTAAAATACATCCAGTGTGGCAGGCTACAGTGTTTGCAAGCAAATCAAGTTTAATTTTAGTAACTCTAATCTTTAGATAACTCAGCTGTAATATACTTAAGAGATAGCCTTCTGTTGTAGAAAATTGCAGTAGACTAAAAGAATTACCAAACAGAGGTCTGGGGACTGTCAAACCAAGTACATTAATTATGTAATGCTACTATTATTTACTTTAAAAGTCCATTCAGCATGAGAAGGATTTTCTCCTTTTATTAACCTTTTTTTCCTGTACTACAGCTTCTCTTTGTTCTGAGATATTCTTATATAATTGACACTTTAAGAATCCCTACTGCATTTAATGGAGGAAATACTTTGCAAATAATGACGTTAAAGAACTATAATTAGTTTAAGGATATACTTTCATTTGCTTGACCCAATCTGACCAATAATACAAGTCACATATAATTTTCAAGAAGATCCTGATTGATAATTATGGGTATCGAATCTCAATATGAACAATGAATAGGCTGGCTTGAGTTGTAATAATAAAAAGGTGGTACTTACCCGGCATGCAATCTAGACTGTCTGTTTCGATGGACCACACTGAGTTTGGATTTCTTTGACAATCACATTTGCAGGCTTTGCTATGCCAGTGCTCTAGATTATCATCCTAAAATAGTGTAAAATAATGTATCAACTTTGCATATACAGAGAATGAGCAGATTCTTTCTTACTTCCTAAATTCCCACTGGATTATATCAACTCTGCTCAAATGGCACCTTTCAGATGTATAATTAAAAACATTTGGGGACTACAAGTTTGCCTAGGGTAGCATTGCACTCTTCATATTGATCAATGCCATTTATCATTATATGCATACATAGAGAGTACAACAGAGAGACTATGAGGCATTCTAAGTCCTGGTTTAAGCCAAAAGGATAGCCAATTCAACTTAAAGTATATTTTGTTCTTGTTTCACAGCTCATTTGAGTCAAGAACTCATTAAACTGCTTTAGTTGAGCAAGTACAGAATACTATATCTTAGTATAATAAAAAGAAAGGGTGGTTGTAAGAATGGCTGAGATCACAAACATATACACCTGAGAGACTGAGAGACAGATAGCTAAACAGATAAACAATGGTATGTGGACATGATCTTGAGAGACAGGATGAAGAGACACAGCCAAGAAATGGAATGGGACAACTTGCTATAGCCAATTCACCAAAGCCAACTCGCCATAGTTAATTTGCCATGGCCAACTCACCACAGCCAACTTGCTGTGGGACAACTTACCATGGCCAACTCGCCACAGGACAACTCACTGTGGGACAATTCAAAAATTCTATTTAATTATTTAAAATAATTAAAACATTATTTTAATTTTTGTCAGTCACATTTTATTTTGTCCCTCCTTTGGCATCCTTTCTTTAATGGTTCTATTCCATTATTTCTTTGATATTAGTGTATTTCTTGTCCCACAGCAAGTTGGCCATGGCGAGTTGTCATAGACTTGCCAAAAAATGATAAGATAAAAGGCAACAAGCCCAGAGCTGGAATGTAGATGGGCCAAGAGGCTCAGAAGACACATACACATATAGTTTCTTAGGCTGTAAAGGAGACTAGGTAAGAGATATACTGTAAGGACCTGCTTCAACTGTCCCCTCAGAAAAAAACAACTCAGGAAAAAGGCATTGTTTCAAAGAGGATGTTTTATTGAGAGAAAATGGTTGCAGAATAAAATCTGAATCTGAAGTTCCCGTATAAAAGCATTAAGCTAAAACTCCCGTTTCTTCAGCCCCACCCCAATGCCCAGTCCATCCAGAGTCAATCCACTGGCATGAAGGTGGTTATGAGAATTTCGAGCCGAAAAGGTGATAACCAGCCATTTCCCAGGGTCCTCATCCTTTCCAGTCAGCAGGAGTAGAAACAGATGGCCCCAAGGGTATTCCTCCCTCCCTAATTCCCATGCAGAGACATCAAAGTGAAAGTAGAAACAAATGCTAGTAATACAGAAACATCCTCAATCCACACCGATGCATGCTCCACTTCTCTTTCTCATGGCAGCATTCCTAAGGAACCTGACATACTGCCCCCCCTAAAAGAAGAGAAGATCCACCTGGAGAAGAGAAAAAAATATCAAAAAGGGGAAAAGAAATAGTGATTGTTTATTTAGGTTTATTGGGGTAGCGGTCATGAAAGCGTTTAATTAGTCTAGGGGTTTTCATATAGTTCTTTTGCACCCACTCAGGCTGAGCCCCAGGGAGAACTTTCCATGTTACTAGGTATTAGGTGACTCGCCAGTGTGCGTGTGAGTCTAAGATTTCCTTAATCTCAAAATGCTGTTCTCCCTCCACCATAATAGGCTGGGGGACTGGAGGGGGTGCCGGCCTTAAGGGCAAAATCAGTTCTGGTTTGAGGAGGCTGCAATTGAACACCGGGTGGACTTTTCTTAATGACTTTGGTAAATCTAATTCTACTTTGACTGGGTTAATAATTCATTTTACAGGGAAAGGCCCTATATATTTTGGTCCTAACTTCTTTGAGGGTTGTAAGGATTGTAGGAACCAGGTGGACAAATATACATGGTCCCCAATGTGAATGGTTTAGGTTCCACTCTCTTTTTGTCAAATTGGGCTTTATAAGCCCCCGGGCATCTGCCAGGGTTTTGTGTACCACAGATCACATATTTTTCAGTTGATTGATCCACTCTTTTAAAGAGGGGATCATGAGCTCCTGGACCGGTAGCTCAGGCACTGGGTTAAAGACTTGCCCAGTTGCCATTCGAAATGGCATGAAACCTGTGCTGGTATGCACAGCATTGTTATATGGTACTTCAGCAAATGGCAAGAGGTCTGTTCAGTCATCTTGCTGATAGTTAATAAAACGGCTGTCAAGTTTCCACTAAAGATCCCAACTAAGTAAATACACCAGAGTCATTTAGATCTCTAATACAAAACTTTATTGGGTACAGCATACCAGCACTTAAGAGTTGAAAACCAGCTCTGACAATATGGTGGGAAAATGATAATTAAAAGAATAAAACTTTCCATCCCTTCTCTGACAGTTCAGGTCACATTGTCCAATTAATTCTCATATAGTTTTTATGAGAAGAACGTCTCTGGCCACCACAACATCTCTTTGGTGACCTTGGCTCCCATCTGGATAGAATCCACCTGTGCATTCCAAACCTTCCCCTCCCCCCTCAAAACTGTAGGCAAGCTAGAAGCAGCATGGCAAGCAATATTCATAGCTTGAAAGGGTGGCCCCCTTACAGAGTTGGGAGAACCTGGAAAACAATGAATACACATCATTTCTTGTTAACTTTCTCTTGCGATGGCCCCAGCTTCCAGGGGTGCTTATTATGGAATTGCTCTACTAAGCAATCTGCTTTCACATTGTACGCCTTTACCCATCTAGCCTCTGACAATGGAAAGGTTGGATAACTTTTCCATTGGATTAGGTACTGTAGCTTCCTAGGGTGCAGTTGAAAGCAGTTTTCCATTCATCGCCTTCCTTGATCCTCACTCAATAGTATGCCTCCCTCAGATCTCACTTCGTGAATATTTTCCACTCAGCTAAATGTCGCAACATATATTTCATGAGGGGGAGGGGGGTACATATTTTCTATGCATAATCCATTAATCCCACAGAAATCAATGGACAATCTCACTGACCCATCTTTCTTTTCTTTAAACAACACTGGTGCTGCCACTCAAGATTTCACCACTTGAATAAATCCCCTCGACAATTTTTTATAAATGTAGTCCCTCAGTTCCTTCAACTCCTTTGGAGTCATGAAATACATCTTTGGCTTGGGGAGCTTCTCTCCGGGCAGGATCTCGATAGCGCAGTCTGTTGGGTGGTGATGTGGCAGATTGTTATACTCCACTGAACGCTTCCATGAGGTTTCTGTACTCTCTGGGGACAGGCTGCTGCTCCTCCCCCTTCTCCAACGCTGCCTTGGTAGGTACAACCTGAGTCTATGAGTGCTTTTACCATCCCTCTCACCCCTAAGCAGGATGCTGCAATGTCCATCTTGGCTGCAAGGGGGTTGACCGGTCCACTCCCCACTGCGTCGTCTTCTCCCTTGCTGTCACTATTATGGCTCCTCTTCAGTCAGAGTTCCCTCCCCTTCATTTTCAGGGGGGAGACCTCAATGACCTATGCTGCCGCTTGGGACTTTTCCTTCCCCTTTTTCAGCAGCTTCTTAGGCTTCGGAGGACGAGGGTCCACAGGGGCTGCCCTGGGTGTCAGTGCTGGGCACATTGCTGCTCAATGGCCCTCCTGGCCATAGCAGAAGCACAGGGTGAGTGCACGACTCAAGGGTTCAACAGGAGCAGGAGATGCCACCACTGGCTACTTCCTTCCCAGCTTCATTTCCATGGGTTCTCTTTGAGTGTGGCTCAAATCTCCCACAGGCTTTGTACTCCAACAGGTCTAGCTCCACAGTGGTCACCAGTTGGTACCAATCATTGAGCCGGTTTGAGATCCCTCTGGCCAGGCAGGTGTGGTACAGGACATGAATCAATCTGTCTTGGAAGTTGTGGGACAGGAGCTGCTTCGGCCAGTTCCACTTTGAACTGGAAACAGCCTAGTGGACAGTTGAAAGTGGCTTTCCATTCATCTCCTTCCCTGATTCTGATGTGTTGATAAGCTTTCTGCAAATCTAGCTTTGATTTTCCCCCCTTGGGCTAACATGTCCTTCATGAAGGGAAGGGAGTACACGCAGATCCCCAACTTCTCCATAAAGCTGGGCTAACTAGGCATCCAGTACATCCCGAATCTAGCAGTGCTTTTAGGGAAGCACCCTTCCCAGCCTTAGGGAGGTGCAACTCTATAGACATAGTCACTGGTGTGATCGGTCCACTTACCAAGGGATCATCCTCATAGTCAATGTCAGAGAACCCTTGGTCTTCCCTCCAGTGGGATCAGAGTCCCCCCCATCTGGATGAAGGGTCAAACTCCACGACCTCCCATTGTCCATTGTCAACCAATCATTTGCACTCTCTTTGTTTTGGGAACAATTCTGTTGACCTCAGACTCCCCCACTGGCAACCTTGAGGTGTTGGGTCTGTCTCAGGCTTCCAGTCAGCACACTTGCATTCCAAATTTCCCTCCCAAACCTCCTTTACATTCCAAGGCCTTCCTTCCCCCTCCTCTTACAGTTGTCTGGTTGCAAGCAGGGCTGCGTAGCAAGTCAACAATGACATGCCACCCCTCCAGAAAGATTAATCCTACATGGAAACATACATATTATTACACCATGATCCCTCTGCACAGGTTTACCTACTGGGATTGGTCTGGGTACCTAGTGTGAAACCTCTGAATGACTTTAGGGGCATGGACATTCGTTGCCTTCATCTATTCTGCCTCTGCCAAGGGAAACCCCTTCCATAAGATTAGGTACTACAACTTCCCCTTGTAACACCAAGAGTCAAGGATCTCTTTGACCTCGAAATCTTTTTCTCCATCTACCCAGGAGGGGGGGGGGGGAAGCAGCTTAATGGCCAGTCTCAGTGGTGAACTACAAAAGGGCTTTAACAAACTACAGTGAAACACTGGTGAATGTGCCAGAGGATTTTTGGCAATTTCCATTCCACTGTCACCAATTCACAGTCCAGATGATCAGGAAAGAACCTATGTACTTAGGTCCCAACTTTTGGCAGGGCTGCCCCAACTGCAGGAACCTCATCCTCTATTCTAAACTTTTTCTGAGGGGCTTTCTTCTTGTCAACCTGTCTTTTCTGCACCTCTCTTGTTGCTTCTAATGCTTTGCACACTATGGTCCAGATGGCTTTCCAAATACTTATCCATTCAGCCAACAAAGTCAATGAAGGTATCCCTTGAGGGAGCTCTAGCATAGACACAAATTCCATTCCAGTGGCCACTCAAAAGGGGGTAAACCCCATGCTGCTGTGTACAGAGTTATTGTATGCCACCTAAGCAAAGAGTAGAAGTTAAGCCCAATTGTCTTGTTGGTAATTCACATAGCATCGAAGGGACTGCTCCAGGACTGCATTCACACCTTCACAAGCCCCATTCATTTGAGGATGATGGGTGAAGCTAAGACCCTGAGAGGAGCATAACAAGCTCAGGAACTCATGCCAAAACTTTGATGTGAATTATACTCCCTGATATGAAAGTATGTATTTTGGAAAGCCATGTAGCCAATACTGTGATCTGGGCCATTACGGACTAGATTCTCTAAGGAAGCCCACTTTGTGGTGTGCCTTAGGATCCATTCTGCTTGGTCCCTGGCTAAATGTTTCATACAACATGAAAGGTTTAGCCAAGGACCAAGCAGAAGGGATCCTAGGGCACACCACAAAGTGGGCATGCTTAGAGAATAAGTCCGTAATGACCCAGATCACAGTATTCCCAGCACTTTCCGGCAGCTCTACAATAAGTCCATAGATATTTCCCTCCAGGGAGCTGTGGCACTGGCCACAGTCTGCAACAGTCCTGGAGGCTTGCCAGGCAGCCTCTTCTCTGAAGCACACATAGGGCAACTGGCTACATAGGCTCCTATGTCTTTCTTCATCTGCAACCACCAAAATTGCCTCTTTATAAGGAGAAGGGTTTTCATGAATCCAGAATGCCCCGTCATCTTCACATCATGGCTCTGCTGCAATATTAAAGTCCTCTGGCTCGATGGGATATATAGTTTGTTCCCAATCCATGCCAGTCCAGCCCTTAAGGACAATTTGTCTTTTTCTTTTTGGAATCACTCATCTCTGGCCAAGGCTTCTTTTAGGGGTCATGTTAGGTCCTCGGTCAACTGTGATGATGATGCTTCCTACTGTCTTGTGAGAGCTGGTGCTGCTACTTGTTTGGAGGGGATGATGGAATCAACAACCTCCTCTCAAGCACTATTGTACTGTGGCATTTGTGAGAGAGTGTCTGCCAAAATATTTCACCCTCCTGATAGATAGCAGAGAGTGAAGTTGAAGCGATTAAAGTATTGGGCCATTGGACTTGTTTGTGGGACAGCTTTTGGGGAGGACTCAGTGCTTCTAAGTTCTTGTGGTCCATCCACACTTCAAAAGGAATCTTACTACCTTCCAAGAATTTCCTCCAGGTTAGGAGAGCCCAGCGGACCACATAGGTTTCCTTTTCCCAGATAGTTTATTGTCTCTTAGTTTCCGAAAACTTGCAGGACATGTAGGCGCATGGCTGCAACTCCCCTTTTCTGTTCTTCTGGAGCAGCCCCACACTCATGGCTACATCACTGGTATCTGCTTGTATCACAAAAGACTCATCTAGATCAGGGTGCTTTAGGACCAGTTCAGTGGAGAAAAGACACTTTAAGTTCTCAAATGCGGCTTGGCACTTAAGTGACCAGGCTTGGCTGGACTTGGCTTCCCTTTCATCTTCAATAAAGTTGTGATAGGCAGGGCTGAGTGAACATGGGGATGAATTGGTGATAGAATTAAGCAAAGCCTAGAAAACTTTGCAATTGTCTCCTCGTTTGTAGGAGCTCCCACTCTAACATTGCCTGAACCTTCCCAGGATCCATCTCTACACCATCTTTTGAAATCCGGTACCCTAGGTAGTCTAGGCTGGTTTTATGAAAATCACACTTAGTGAACTTTGTAAAAAGTTGCATCTTCCACAGCTTCTCAAGCACCGCTCTAATCAATTTCACATGTTCCTCCTTGGTTTTGGTATAGATTAATATATCATCCAGATATGCTAGGACATACAGGTGTTCATACAGTATGTCATTTATCAGCTGCATGAACACTGTAGTCCAAATGGCATCACTCAGAAATGGTAGCAGACCAGGAGGCTGTTAAATGCCGTTTTCCACTTATCCCCTTCTTTAATTGTCACTCAATAGTACGCCTCCCTTAAGTCTACCTTA